ACAATTGCTTTACTGTATATAGATATTTTATAAAGTTTACAAAATATTGACAAAAGATATGATTTTCCCAGTACTGAAAAATAAAACACATTTCTTTTTGCAATTGATCAGTTTTAAAAAATTTAGCAGTATATTATTAAATAATACTATGGGCTGTTTCTATAGGACATTCACTTGAATAAGCAAGATAATTAGTTATTATATCAAATATAGAATGGCTAGTCTCTATCTAATAAAAAATATTCAAAAAAAACATTAATAGTGTTTGCTTATAATTTGTTTGATCGAATTAAAGAAAGAAATTACTTTAGCAACATATGCAAGCTTCTTTATAAGCAGGTCAATTTTTTTCTTAATAGTACATTACATAAATATCAAGAACTAAAGAAATCAGATTGCTCAACAAATCAGTTAAATACAAGAATTTAATATTCTTATATACCCAAACTTTAAATAAATAATATTAGAAATATTGGATCATGCTATATATATAATGTAAAATATTAAGTTAATCCTCTATAGGTGCAGATTCTTACTAATATTTTTTTTTAGTCCAAATATATATTTATAGATGTCATTAAACAAGAATAAATTCTTTAAGAAAACTAATTCATAAGTATTTAAAGATATGTAGAAAGGACCCATTATAGGCAAAAATGATATAACAAATTGAAAGATAGTCTTCTTGTTAAAAAGAAGCTTTTGAGCAATAACTTTACAAATATAAATTTGTCTAGGCCAATCTACAATAATGGAAATTGCATGATTAGAAAGATAAGTCTGCATAAATGTTTGGTTATACATAATTTGAAGAGCATTTGTATATCCTTCTATATCTTTCAAATTATTTTGAATGAAATCAAAGAGAATAGAATTTTGTATATATCGATTATCTTTTTTTTTTTTTAGCCTATCATTATAACTATGTATTATTAAAATTTTTATAATCTCTTTATCTGAATATCTCTTTAGGTTATTCTGCATATGGTCTTGATAAGGAATACTGAGATTTATAATAAATCATCTATTTGGATATTTGATAATTATATCATCATCAACAATCTTTAGATTAAGTACTCTGTCAAGTGGTATTACTAATATATTACATGAATTTGTCAAGATTGTTGCTATGTATATTAGACAAAACATAGCAGTAGTTTCAGGTTGTGTTGAGATATGAATATTGTGGTAATTATTAATATTCTGTACAAAAGCCTTTTCTGAATATTTTGCAAGAACATTCTCTACATATTTGTTGTATGTATCAGAAATTGGATTTTTCTTATGATTTACTGATCTCACTGTTGTAGTTACTTCAAGACTTGCTATTGTATTTAGACCCTAGTTGCTTGTACTGAGTCTAAATAAAAAGTGAGATTGAACTTTAAGTAATTAATTTTCAAATTATATAAAGAAACAAGAAGATAAGATATATGTAATATTAATTTTTTCATATGAACCATCATTTGATCATTATGTTCAAGTGGTTTAGCCACTGAATAGAGTTGACAAAGAAAATCTTATAATAATTTTTTTGTTTGAAATGCTTTCTGCATTTCATTATATGAATATATAGGGCCTTCTTTTTTCATATACTCTCTTTTATAAAAGATTTTTGTCATTTCTTTGATAGCTTTCTATTTACCTCTTTTTTATCTACAATCTCTACTCTGTTCTTCTTATTTCTTAATATTTCTGTTTCTCTTCTAACTGTAACTTCTATCTTTTCTCTCATAATATCATTTAAATTATCTTCATTTGCAACTTTTATTTGTTTAGTACTTTTTTGTAATATATTTACTACAAATTTCATATAATATTTATTATACAAAATAATACTTTTTTCATATTTTACCTCTGGTTCTACTGATATCAAGTTTTTACATTCAAATTCTTTCTATTTTTCTTGCATAAAACAGAATTTCTTCGAATCAGTAGTGTTACAATAATCATATTTTTTAGTTTCAGACATATTTTTACTAGGAATTTCTCTTGAAAAATTGTATTATAAAAGTTATGCGATTAACAATAATTATTTGAATATGTTATAATACAGAACAAAAGCTTTAAGTTTGCTTAATGAAGTTGGTCATATTTAGTAAATGACTTATATAACCTGAACTCATTAATAAAGTATTGTAAAACATATAAAAAATTTTCTTTAACAATTATATAACAATCAGAAAATCATTTTCATATTTGGGATAGTCCTATCTCAAGACTTGTGTTTGAGAAAAGCATAGGTCATTACATAAAACCTGTATAATAAAAGAAAATTCTTAAAATATACTCAGAGTAGAGATTATTATTCTATATCTCAATTTTAGTTTTTTTAGGATTAGGGTTAGTTGGCATATAATGACTATTTTAAATTTTATTTATTATTTTTAGTTATAGATAAAGAGCCTATACCCTAAGTACATTTTAAGCACACCCATAATAAAATAGTAAATTACATGGATTTTGGTCATATGATTTTACTATTATTCATTAAATAACAAGTATATATTGTAAAAGTGTTTAACAGTAAAAATACTGTATTTAAACTTAATAATTGCACACATCTTTTTGAATCAGATTAAGAGATTTATGGTCTGATAAGTAGTACAGGAATAGAGTAATACAGTATATACATACCAAACATGTTGTTCACAATTTATATATATATATATTATATTTCATTATATAATATTAAATTTTTATAACAATAAGTGACAATGTGCTACTAATAAGAAAAGTAATATTTTCTTTCCAGTTCCTTTTTGTAAGACCATTTTTAGTCTGTTAAGGTGGTACTTGTAAAGAACTACCCTAGTGGCATCAACTAATTTTTACTGATTAACAATTTTTTAAAACTATAAAATAGTATATTAAAATCAGGTTTATAATTATAACAATACATGTTTTATACTAAAATTTTACAAAAAAATTTTTTTACTAAAGCACAGAAGATGGTTATATAAGTGAAATTTTGAGTTATGGTAGTTTTTTAAAAAATGTTAGTTTTTTGTTTTGATTTCATGTTACATCTGATCTTGTAATCTAATTGGTCAATTGCTGTTGATTAGTAAAAATCTCTAATTGGTCAATTGCTGTCAATTAGTGAAAATCTGTCAATGTCACTGGAGTATTTACTTGCAAGGTTTTGTCTTTGTATCTTTCTTTGTTGATTCTATTATATTGAAAGAACTTTTCGATCATTTATTTTCAATAAAATTTTTTATATACTATTATACTATTATGCAAACTTACTCTCAAGATTTTTACTAAACATAACTTACAAATTAATATTGAATTTCTCTATATATTTTGTCAAATGAATTATTTAATAATCTAAATTCATATATACTAAAAAAACAACTTAGAACATTGCTAAAGATGTACTTGCATAAGATAAACATAATATATATTTTATATATCACATAATTTATCGAGATAATTATCAAACTAACATCATTTAGAGTTGTAAATTAATATAATAAAAATATATTATATTAAAATTCTTTATTTCACATGATGTGTAATGTTTAGATTATCAATATAAATACTTTTTTCAATTGTGCAACTTTTTTTATATAAAAAATCTTCAAATATCTTCTACATTGTATTACTTATTATATCACAGTCAGTTTTATGTATAATGCTTACTATGTGTATCTTCATATTTTTTCTAAATGAAGATCTATTCTAGTATATAATAAAATTTTACCTTCAGATCTATAGCTCATTGCAATCTTTAACTTATTCTTCATTTAATATTATGCATAATGTTTAGATTACCAATATAAATATTTTTTTATTTTTATTTGTACAACTTTTTTTTTATGTAAAAGATCTTCAAATATCTTTTATATTGTATTACTTATTATATTACAACCAGTTTTACATATAATGCTTACTATGTATATCTTCATATTTTTTCTAAATAACAATTTATTTCAATATATAATAAAATTTTAGTTTCTTTCAGATTTATACTTCTTTGTAATCTTTAACTTATTATAACTCTTCAAGATCTTTAACTTAATATAACTTAATAAAGATTTTTAGTATAGTTTTATTTTATTTGTATTTTTTTATTTTATTTTGTTTTTTTTAATTTTCAATATCACAATGTACTAATAACTCTATGTTTGAAACTTTTAAGAAATAATGTTGAAGACTTAATCATAAATATTAACAACAATTTTGTAATAAAAAAAAAACAATATAATGTCGAAGCAGAAAAAGAAGAATACTTTAGAATAAGAAGAGATTCAACAAGGCATCAAAATGAAAATGAAATACTAAAGAATGAATTAGAATTGGCTTTTGTAAACTCTATATAATCTAAATTGTTTGAAGAAACTGCAATAGGTTTAAAAAGTAAAGTTAGTCTTTTAATCTCTTTTTTATTAAATTCTAGTTTTAGCATAATCTCTGAAGATAAAGTGACTATTCCTATTAAGCCAACTATCATTACTCCTCTAATTACAATTTCTGTTACAATATTGAAAGAATATATTTATCCATAGTATTTACAAGATTTAGACTATTACTTTCTAAAAAACATAAGTCACAGATGCCATAGTTGTAAAACTCTATTGTGAATTAATGAAAGAAGAGCAAATTTATTTACACAATTACTGATTTTCATAGCATGTTGTGCTAAAGACAAATTTTCTTTTCCTTTTTTTTAGAAATTACCTTCTTTTTTAAGTATTTTGCTTGCTAGAACAGATCAGAATGCATATTTGTTTAGACAATATATTAGAATGTATAATTTGATATTAGCTTTCATATCTATAGATGCAAAAATAGATAATACTATAACAGAAACAAGCAGTGTTTATAACTTACATATTTATAGTGAAATGTATTATACTATAGAATTTTTGCTTCCTTATGATTCTAGGTCTCAGTTTGCTTAATTATATATGTATGATACTAAGCATGAATTACAAAATAGAATGTTTATAATGTGTAATCTTGATCCTATTATTCTTGCAGAGCTATAGCAAATGTTATATAATATAAATCCTTATAGTAGTATGTTTAGACAAGTCAGTAACATACATAGATTAGATTCATCTTTAGATTTAAAAATGATTATTACTAATAATAGAAGAGAAGATCCTAGGCATTATAATATTCCTACTATATCAGAAATTGCAGTTATTATGATTAGTGATAAACAAACTAATAAGCTATTTAATTATGATAGTGTTTACACTTATGTGAAAAAAGATTACAAAGAATATCAGAGCTACATCCTGTATATCAACTTTTGCATTATGTTCTTATATTTTTCAGAGATAATGATAGTTGGCATCCTAAAATTTTTATAAATAGTGTTTCTTTTTCTTCATCTTCACTTCAAAGTTCTATAAACAATAGAGATCATTTAAATATTAATAAAGATAAATTAAATATTTTAAGAAAACATATAAATGTTATGAATTATGTTACTTACAGATTACATCTTGATTGCCTGAGTGAAGCTGTAGTCCTATATCAATTTAGATAGCTTTTTTAACAGTGGATTGTAAATATGTATGCAATAGTAAAACAAATGTATCTTAATTATCTACATTATAATCAAGATTGGCTACAAGTAAAATTATATAAGGGCCTACAAGATGTGATGTATAAAGAAAATAATATGTTCAGCTTAGCCAATATAGGACAATAAATTATATTATTATTTAACTTTACAGAAGGACCTCACCAAATGCAGAAACTCTATCATAATGCTATAGCTACTGTACAAGTAGTTGGAAAGCCTAATCTGTTTATTAACATAACTTGCAATCTACAATAATCAAAAATTACTAATTCTCTTTTTCCAGATCAATCTTTGTATAACAAACCTGATTTAGTTGCTAGAGTCTTTAATATAAAATTAAAAACAATGCTTAAGAAAATTTTAAAAGATGATATTTTTGGAAAAGTAATAGCTCATATTTATACTATAGAATTTTAGAAGTGTGAATTACCTTATATCCATATGCTTTTTGTTCTTATTCATAAAAATAAGCCCTAAACTGTTAATGCTATAGTTTCTACTAAAATATCTGATAAAGATATTTATTTTTATACATTTGAAACTATTAAAAAGTCCATGATGCATAGGCCTTGTGGTGCTTTGTTCTTAAACACTTCTTGTATGAAAGATAGAAAATACTTCAAATAATATCCAAAATGATTTCAGATAAGTACAGCTATTAATAATGATGGTTATCCTATTTATAGGTAAAGAGATGATGGTCAAACTGTAAAAGTATATAGAACAGCATTAGATAACCATTAGATTATTTCTTTTAACCTATATCTTTTGACTAAGTACAACTGCTATATAAATGTAGAAATTTGGTTTTTAATAGCTGCAATAAAATATTTTTTCAAGTATGTCTATAAAGGATATGATTATGCTACTATAAAATTAAAAATACAAAATTATGAAAAACAATGCTCTAAAAATAATGATGTACCTTAATGCTTACTACATTTCTGTATTAGAAGCTTCTTAGTGATTATTTTATTACAACTTACATGCTAAAAGCCTAGCAATTATGCAACTTTAAGTTCATCTAAAAGATGAACATAAAGTTGCTTTTTAGGATAATGAACCTATAGAAACTATACTTACACATGCTAATTCAAAATGCATTACACTTACTGCTTAGTTTCATACTAATAAATTATATCCAAAAGCAAGAAATATTATATATGCTAATTTTCTTACTTATTGGATTTATAACAAGAAGACTAGCATATGAAAACCATAGCAGTGTAGAAATATGATTAGCTGGATGTATTTTGTCCATCTTGTTGCTGGTAAACATTATTATTTAAGAATGTTGCTTATCATAGTTTGTAATGCAACTTCATTTGAATTCTTTTATATAGTAAATAAAGTTTTATATAACATATTTAAGAATGCATATGCTGCTTTAGACCTTTTACAAACTGATACAGAATGGAATCTGTGTTTAGCTAATGCTTTACATATACAATCTAAAGCCTAATTATGTTAGTTATTTACTATCCTTTTTCTTTTTTGTAATCCTTTACATCTGAAAAACCTATAGAACAAGTATTTTATTATATTAACTAATAATATTTATTATAATTTTAATACTAATCCTGCAAATACTACTACTAATATTCAAAATCAAACTTTACTTTATTTACAATCTATATTATTTAAATATAAAAAATGTATTGCTGACTTTTTCTTTATATTCTTATCAGAAGTTCTTACTGACTACAGTTATACTAATCGACTTATTTGTGAAAAACAAAGCTATGATATCAATAATCTTACTCAGATTATCTAAACTGAAATTTCTCAATTAAATATAAAGCAACAAACAAAGTTATAAATGCAGTAAAAAACAAAACTTCTGCTATGTTTTTTGTTGATAGTTCAGATAGAACAGAAAAAACATTTTTGTATAAGTAAGTACTTTTTTTTATTGCTTTAATTATTTTTTTATATTATAATTTATTTTTATTAAATCATATTTTATTTTTTATATTGATATATATATTTTGCTCTCATTAGTATATTACTTGTGAAAGTTCAAATAATTAAATATATTGCCTTTACTACTGCTTTATCAGATATAGCTGTTCTTTTTTTACTAGGTGGTTGAATTGCACATTTCAGATTTTGTATTTTGATAAATGTAAATAAAAATTTGACCTGTTCTATTTCTCATAGCTCTAAGCTAGCTTTTTTATTATAACAAACATTATTAATTGTATGGAATGAAGCTCTGATAATGCATAGACATGCATTTAAAATTGTAAATCACACTTTAAAAGATCTAATGAAAACTGTAAACCATAATTTAGAACACAAACCTTTTAAAGATAAGGTTGTAATATTTGAAAGAGATTTTTAACAAATCCTTCTAGTAGTTTCACATAGTGAATATAAAAAAATTGTTAGCTTCTGTAGTTGATCTTTAGTATAGATGGGCAAATATGATTATTATATAATTATAATAGATATAATTAACTATCTTGAATTAATTTAAGTAAATTTATAAATAGTTAAAGT